AACTCTCAAGTTTTCTCACATTACACTATGACTTGTTGGGAAAGTACACCACGGGTCAGGCCGGACAACTTTTGGTCGGTGCGCTGGATGGTTGTCTGGCTAGTTTTCCTTGGCTCTGAAACCTTGAATCAGACGTTTTGGAATAAACCATCCATTGGGTGGTTTTTTGGCAGGGCAAACCTCAAAAAATCACATCCACACTGGGATTGAACCCACAACCTGCCTGCAGCAGTATGATGCAACACCCAGTCCTTACCAAGCACAACGCGCAATCGGCCCAAGAAACCAGACTTTCTTGGCACACAAGAATTCAGAACACATGTAAATTTTCATATGCCAGGTTTCTTTGGCTGATTTTTTTTGTTTTTCATTGGATTTTTTATTCTTGGCCCAATTTTTTTTTTTCATTGGCTGATTTCTTTTTCTTGGGCTTATTTCTTTTTCTTGGGTTGATTTCTTTTTCTTGGGCTTATTTCTTTTTCTTTGGCTGATTTCTTTTTTGTTGGCTGATTTATTTTTTGTTCGCTGATTTCTTTTACTTTGGCTGAGTTTTTTTTGTTGGCTCCTTTTCTTGTCCTATTGCATGAATGAAGCTGCCAAAGATGCCAGTGGGAAAGGGCCCACCAGCACACATCCAATCAATAAATTTAAAAAAAAAATCAAACTACAATGATTCTAATATCTCAGGCCCACATGGGCACAAGTCATCAAGAAGGACTGAGAGTCATAGACCTGTCCAAGCTGATCAGTCTGTTCAAACTTTGCACAGAAAGTGAATGGGGTCAGGTTAGAGATGGCCCCGCGCCATCTGGATGCGGATATCCCCTCCGTTTTCCAGCGCAATGTGGCATCCACATCCGCATCCGCACCCCCTGGCGGGTACCCGTTGGCCTAGGCGGGTATCCGAGCAGGTATCCACGGATACCCGCCCTTTAAATGGGTGGCAGGGCAACCGGCTGAAAGGAAATACATCACAAATTTCATATTGTTATTTATGTGGATACAATTGAAATAATTCAAGTTGTACTTGATGGCAGTTAGACAGCTTTTTCCCTAAAAGGAGCAATCTGGAACTTACCCTTACTAGCAGCTAGCAGGAAATTTCTACACTGAATTGTTTGCTTCACTAATAAGCATCCTGCACCTTTCCCCTTGGTGGATGAAAGATGTGGAGACACTGGTAAATGTTACACTTTGTAGAAATGTGACAGCTGTTTCCTTGTATACCATCATTTCAAACTTAGCTTTTTTTGAACCATGGAATGTATTCAACTATGAAATAGGTCAAATTCCCAAGCTGCCATTGGTGAACAGCCACCCCAACATGTGTATTTCACTCAAAGCTCAGTGGAACCTTTTGAAATTCCACTTCGTGACAGTGTGACAGCTGTTTCCCAGCAAACTTGACTTTCCTTACAGTATGTTTTTTTTTGCAATATGTCATAGTGAAAATGCCCAATCTGTTGTTTGGGAGCAACATCCCTGACATGGTATATAATCTGAAACTCAGTGGATATTTTGGCCATTAAGGCTGCACAATTTTACTGCAGGTTTCTGACACTCAAACTTCCTGGTAGAAAGATTCATTTTTATGGAAAAAGAAAATGATACCATACTACCCACAAACCTTTTCTTCTTCCCTAGTGGAACTCTGGTTGAAAAACTACAACCATATCTCCTTTGTTCCCATTGATTACTTCCTTCTTCATTCTATAATTGGATCTCTCAGTTCCTCCACCTAACCTGGCTTAAAGTCAACAATTCATTTCTGTGCTTCCCTTCTTTTTGATTAACTTGTCAATAAAACCTGTGATATATTTCCTTCTGCCTCTCTCTGATCATCAAAGAGCACCTACACTTCTCAACCATTTGGTAGGTTCACTTTGATCCTCTTCACTCATTAAAAGGAAGCAGATATTGAATTTATTGTCTCATAGTCTTATTGTTTTAGTGTTCTTAAGCTACTTTTTTCATATATCTTGTGTTTCTCAGATCTCTTCAAGTGTCCTGTTTGCCCTTAGGTCAGAATTCCTTCTTTTACTTATGTCATTTATTTCTTTTCTCAGCCTTTGACGTATCAGAAATAGATCATTCAAAATTCTTAGAAAAACATACCAAAAAGACCATCAAGCAAATCACCCTGGACAACAAATTGGAGAAGGTAGTGTTGCAGAGCAGAGAAGTGCCACAATTCTTCAGGGACACACTTTTCTTTCCAAAGTGAAGTGTCATGTGTTGCCATGTAACCAAGCCATATTCCATAAAATTGAAAATTTTCAAGCAACTAGAAGCAAGCAAAACTTTGTAGTCTTTTGTGAGAGGAATAATTTAAGAGAAAGGTAGAGGCGAGAAGATTGTTAATAAGGAAAGGGATAAAGGAAACGTTCTGTGTGATGATAAAGATTCATTTCCGTATTAGCTTTCAATGCTTCAAGTCTATGGCTGTTAGAGATGGTTGATCTCACTTTGGAGATGTCGATTGTTCTTCTCTCCTTTTTGCTTAAAGTCGTTGTTGAACAGTGAGGTTACTTTCTTCTTTTCTTTCAAGGTATTGTTTTGTGTTCTGGGTCTTAGTGGCTTCGGTCGCAGCTGTTTTGTCTAGAGAATGTGTCTGGTATTAGTTATTGGTCTAATAGTGATATTCTCATATTCAGTTGCTCACTGATAGGTTTGCTTAGAGGATTCTTGTTTGCCAAAGTTGCTGCGATGGGGGATGATAGCCGTTCGAGCAAGCTGCTAATTAAGGTGTACCAGAATCAGTTTCTGGACTCGCTTGTGCTACATCTCGTCTTGGGCTTAGTTTACTTTGAACTCACCTCCTGTTTAGATAGGTGGGTTCGTCAGGTTCTTTCGCGTTGGCGGATGGATTATCATCTGTAGAATCCATCTTGGTTAGTTTTCTGCTCTCCTAGATGGTTCATCGCATACTTTTAGTGACAGTTGCTTACCAATCACAGCTGCGCAGTCTGTCTGTAGGGTTCTGGCCCTTTTTAGGGTTAGACCTCTATCTACTGGGTTTGAATTCCAACAAAAATCCTCTGCATGAAGCACCAGGCTGCCAGGCCTGCTGGTAACTCCTTCCATCCAGAGTTTGGGATTCAAAGCCTCTCCTCACTCTCCCTCCGCCTCAATTATTTTTCCTCCCTTCCCTTTCTACAATCTGTACCCGGTACATAAAAAATAAAGTACCCTTATAAACACCACTCCTCCTTTCCATTCCTGGTTGATACATGTTCTCCCACTCCTCTCCATGTATATACTTCCGCTCCTCTGTTCCATTCCTGGTTGAGATATGTTCTGCCACACCACTCCTTGTATGTAATTCTGCTTCTCCTTTCTATTCCTGGTTGAGACATGCTCTGCTGCACCACTCCTTGTATGTACTCCTGTCCGTGTATACCATAACCCATCCCTAATGATTATCCCTTCTCTTGTAATGACCGTCACATGTATGTAGCTACACTATACCAACACCTCTGCTGTATGCTTTTGGAATACAGAAAAGGCACAGCACGCTGCAATGGGCTCAAAGGATGAACAATAACAGCTTGGGAATTGTCCCTAAATCACAGTGAAAAAAATACAGTTGTGTAAAGAAAGTAAATTTTGAGATGATGGTTCACTGGGAAACTGTTGGTAAAGGTTTCACTGATGTGTGAGTGGAATATACATGTAATTGATAGGGGTGGCTGGCCCCTGATGTAAAAATTGCCATTTCCCCTATGTCACCCAGAAAAATGAATTTTTCTACCTTACTCAAGCTATATTTTCTAACAAGATTATTCTCTTTCCTTCTCCAATTTCAACAAAATATCATCTGTTCTGATTGTCTCAGTCACTTGGCTGGATGCCTATCTGATTTCAGCCCACAGGCACCCAGGGTGTATTGCACTTTCCCAGTGAGCTCAAGCAGGCCAAATTCAGTGACCTGGCCCTGTTCACTTTCTGTGCAAAGTTTGAACAGACTTATCAGCTTGAACAGGTCTATGACTCTCAGACCTTGTTGATGACTTGTGCCAATGTGGGCTTGAGATATTAGAATAATTGTAGTTTGATTTTTTTTGATTGATTGATTGGATGTGTGCCTGTGGGCCCATTCCCACTGGCATCTTTGACAGCTTCATTCGGGCAATAGGACAAGAAAAGGAGTCAACAAAAAAAACTCAGCCAAAGAAAAAAAAAACTCAGCTAAAGAAGAAGATATCAGCCCACAAAACATAAATCAGCCAACAAAAAAGAAATCAGCCCAAGAAAAAGAAGTTAGCCCAACTAGAAAAAGAAATTAGCCCAAGAAAAACAAATAAGCCCATGAAAAAGAAATAAGCCCAAGAAAAAGAAATAAGCCCAAGAAAAAGAAATAAGCCCAAGAAAAAGAAATTAGCCCAAGAAAAAGAAATTAGCCAATGAAAAAAAAAATGGGCAAAGAAAAAAAAAGCCAATGAAGAACAGAAAAAATCAGCCAAAGAAATTGAAAAAATCAGCCAAAGAAACCTGGCATATGAAAATTTAAATGTGTGCTGAATTCTTGTGCACCAAGAAAGTCTGGTTTCTTGGGCCGATTGCGTGTTGTGCGTTAAGCTATATGCAATATGATTTAGCCCTTCAACCTCTCATAACACCCCTCCCCCTGAGTAAGTTACGTTAACCCAAAAAAATATATGGAAAAAATAAAATTGGTTACGTTACTTTAATTTACAAGCAAATTTAGTTACTTTACAAAAACAGCAGATTTGGATAACTAAAAAAAAGTTACGTTCTCCAGATCCCCAGCTGTAACGTACGGTAACGTATCTGCCTACCGCTGTTTTGACTTGCCTAATTTGGAATGTCTGACAATCAATAGCTGCATTCCCTTCCACTTCTTAACACTATTCCGGGAGGCTGTCTCGATTAGATTACTCATCTTTGAAATCGACACCCACATTACATTACAACTTCTCAAAGAACTAATCAATTACCAGAATCCAATCTGGCCAAACCTGAGACACTTTGGTTTTGAAATGCACAAAAGGCTCCTTACTGATGATGAAGTCGAAGAACTGATGGTGTATGGCTCGAGACGTGGGGTTGACGTGGTCTGCGATTACGTAGGAAGAAGCCTAGAATGGGAACCAGAAATAGAGGAAGATGGTGAACAACTGATGGACAAGCCGCTGTAGTAAGCTACACTTCGTGTTCATTAGTGGCAAACAGATGGTCAAATTCTTAATACCTCTGTTGGCTGGAGCTGCAAGATGAATTCAAGATGACTCCAGCTGGGCCAGGGGGATGCACTTTTCTCTTTTTTTTTCCAAATCTTATCCTCTTGATTGCTTCCTATTATTATTATTCTTATCTTAATATTTAACATACCAGTTGGACTGCTTGAATCTTCACTACATTGCACACTTCAATTTTCAGCAAACTTTGATTTTGAAAAAGTACCATCAAAGCAAACATCTACAGACCTCAATCCATGGAGACTGTACGGTCTCCATGGCCGGCAGGTATTCCTCTCGGACACTGGGTCTGTACAGTCTCCATGCCCGAGAGGCATTCTCCCGGCCATGAAGAGTGGTACGTGGGCGGGTGGGATCTCTCCTGGCCAAGGAGACAGTACAGGCTCCATGGCCGAGAGGAATCCATCTCAGTCATGGAGACTTGTTCAGACCCCATGCCCGGGAGCCAACCCCCCTCCAGAAAAAAACACCACGGAATCGAAGTCCAACTCCAACTCCTAAATCTACCAGGGTTTTGGAGCCGCCCGGTCCCAAAGTTGGGTCCTGGCGATAGGCCGAGGACATGATCATCTGGCCTGGCCAATGTTTGCCTAAACATGTTTTCCAACAAAGCTTAAAATGAACTTGTTCAATACAACTTGAGATTATGTCAGTGGGATCAGATCCCTTCCTTTTGCCGACGTTCCGCTGTGGTAGTTATTCCTGTGTTTCTACGCCAAAAATATAAAAATTTATTCTCATCTTTTTCTACATCAGATATAAGGTAATAGAAACATCAAAAATGGATTCCTGAGGTAAAATAACCCCTAGTCACCCACTACAACTACCCCCTTATCTCTAATAGTTTAGAAGTTACACAGATTTCAACCTATCACAGGATATCTCTTGGATTCTTTACTCTGACTATAGCTCATTTTGAATACTGGATGCATATTGGATATTGAATTCCTTTATTAGCTCATATTACATATTGAATTCCTTTGTAGGTGCACATGCATTCCTTTGTAGTAGGACCTTGTAGGCTAGCCAAATTCCCTCAAGGCAGTGCTCTTACCAGCCAATATCCCTCACCTGCATGGATTAGACTAGTCAAATTCCCTCATTGGATCTTCAGGCCAGCTAAAAAGCCTCAAAAACCTGTACCTTGGGGCTAAAATCCCTCACATTTGTCTATATAAGGAGGCCTCTGCCTGCCAGTTGTTCCCTCCATCATCCCACCAGAGGACCAGATCAACTCAACCCACATTACAGATTATATACAGGTGACAGCCATAAAAATACACTATATTGAAATACAAACCTAACACTTTTTGATCATCATAACAAGTGCCAAGTGCCATATCCTGCCTCATATACCATTACTGGTTGAAGCATAGCGCTCCCAGAGCTCCGCACCTTGGTTTTAAAGCTTGAACAAAAGCATCATCAATATAATCATCACTCATTAACAACTTCAGACCCTTATAAACCTCACTCGAAAGCTTTATCTTGAACTATCCTCTATCACGATAAATATAACTGCCAAGCTAAGCTTGGTGGTCTTGTTGTTCTGATAGCATAGAAGGGCAGAGCTTGCAACTCCATCATACCCTTCTCCATTCAGCAAAAGGGTTTTCATAACCACTTTTGAGTCTTACACCGCTTGATGTATGATTTCTTTGCGAAACACTTTTAATGCCAGTTGTAATGAATCTTGCTTCACGTTCAAATTCTGATGTCTCGAATTTTCCTTGCTGTTCCTTGAGTTATGTACTCCGAAACATCACTTTAAAACTGCTCACATGATGTTTGGCCCACCACAGTATAATAAGCACCATGAATAGGCACCATGGGGCCGATTCCACAGTTTGGAAGGTATTGGGAGCCATTGGGAGGCTCACTCTTGATGCATTCATGTGTGTATGTAAAACTTGTGTTGGACCTCGGCTGCCTCAGATCCAATACTCATTCTCTAACAAGCCGTACTGTTAGATGTCAAGATGGTCCAGGTGGCCCATGACCCACTCTTTCTTTCTATTTTGACTCCAAGCCTCATATTTACGGCAGTGTGATAGAAAAGTCGATGCAGGTGCTCAGTTAGCTCTTCTTGTGATACTCATGGATGCGGCATTTTATTTTCAAATCGCACTGTGCTTCTTGCACTTGGTTCATGCAACTCCTACGGGGACTCCTACAGCCAAACTGACCTAACTTAACTAAGTCCCCCCTCCCACAGAGGGACTTGGTTAAGTTAGCGAACTGACAAGGAATCCATCTGATCTCACTGGTGAAAACAAAATATTCAAAGACCTTGAAGATCTCAATAGTTTGGAACCTGTTGAAATACAAATCCATTGTGTCAACCTGTGTCATCATACATCATAAAAATCATATGTCATGAATAGAATCAATTCATGTACACAATCAAGTTGATGGCACTAACACATAGGAATCAGGAATCATATCATATAAATCAACATCCTGGACAAGACTGGATAGCCTAGTGGTAAAAGGCATCACTCCTAGTAAAGTGACTTAGCTAATGCTGAGGTCCCAGGTTCGAATCCTGGTCTAGTCATTCTTTTCCCTAAAATATATAGCTGATGCTTATTCTAACAGAACCAATATCCTCAAGGCCAAAGACAATTTCAGAGGAATACCCTGGTCACTTTCCTGTGTTTTACTTCCCTCGGCATGGTGAGGTACTATTAAATCAATTCCCGCAATTGATACCGAGGCTTACTGGTGGCTGAAGCTTTCATAACAATTCTTACCCCGTGCTCTTGGATATTCAGCAGAGTTGAAGGACAGCTTTCTTGATAGATCAAGTCTCAATTTAGCAGTTATCTCAGGGCCCAGCGTTAGTAACACACAAGTGGGATAAGGTCAGCTTTAAACAAAGTCGAATTAAATTCTTCAATGTTTACTGACACCAAGCCGCTGTAAAGCTCAAAAGTGTTTGTGAAAACCTTTTGCTGAGTGTGGAAAGGGATGAATGAGGATACCTCTGCCTTTCCTGGATCACTAGACACTAGACAAGCCCACCAATCTCAGATTGGAAGGTTTAATAAAGTGATAGTGGAGTGTATCAAAAGATAACTGTGGCTTAACAGGTGGACAAAGGGTTTAACCCAGTTTATAAGGGTCTAAAAGGTTGATTTGAGAGTGAGAGAGTGAGTCTAGCTGATATTTCAATGGTAAGGGGATGGTATGGAATGGTATGTAAGGGTTTGTAAGGGTAGGGGGTATGAAATAGGTGGATACTAAACTGAGGGGAAAACAACTGAGAGGAGAGCCTCTTAAATACACAAAGGTGAGGGATTTTAGCTTCAGGGGAACAAGAGAATGAGAGATTTTAGCTGGCCAGAGCTTTACAATGAGGGGATTTAGCTAGTCAGAACATGTACATGAGGTATTTTGGCTGGTTGAGCAACCTACATGATGTCATAAGAGTTATCTAGAAGTCTACATGAGGGTTTTATGCTGGTGAAGCCTTTTACATGAGGTGATGTACTAGTCTGCAAGCTAAGGTGAGGTGATGAATATTACATGAGTGGTGTGAGATAGTCTGACAGCTGCAAGGAAGATCAACAAATGACATGACAACCTGCATGATGTCACTTGTAAATCCAGAGTGGTACCAGACCAACACTGCATGTGTCAACTGTCAGAAGATAGTGGAGTGGTGTGTATACATGTACTATAATGGTGTGAGAGTGTATGTAGTTGTCCTGCAATGTACATATGTATAGTGTGAGTTATGTAATTTGTTGGTGTTGTTGAGTGTTGAAGTGTTGCCATGGTGGTGAGTTGTGTAATTGAGTGTAGTGATGGTCCAGAGGGTGTAGCTTCCCATCCAGTTGAGTCCAGTGACGCCTCCAGTGGTGACCAAGGTGAAATTGACCATAGAATCCAGTTCTTGAGCCATAATGGTTGATTTGTGAGTGTATATATGAGAAAAAAAGGTGTAAAAAGTATGTAATTTGTAATAAAAGAAAAAAACTGTAAAATTTTTAAATGGGCCAGATGGCAACCCTTAAGGTATACCACATCCTCCCCCAACTTATTGTCTGTCCCCAGACAATTCTGCCCAAAAAGTGGCTGAATGGGTATTCATTGGGGTTGCATCATCCTGTGTAGAATCTGCATAAGGCTTTTCTTACTTCCACCCGGGGTTAGGGTGTTTTCAGTTTTCCTGGGTTTTGTAGGTTTTCTGAGTTGATAAAATTCAGGTTTGAACAGTTTAGTCTCATGCCCAAGAGGTAGCCTATTTTTATGAGTGTTTTTTTTTATGATGTTTTTGTAAGTATAAGGAAAGAAAAAAAGGGGAAAAGAGAATTGTTGAGAAATTTTTAACCAACTCCAACAAGGATTCTTGGGATGTGGAAGGCAGTATATAGTTGTTCAAAGCGGTCTGGTGGAATCTTCAGGAGTAGTTGCAAAATTATTTCTTTAAGTAATTGAAATCTGAAAAGTAAAATCTTGGGTGCTCTAAAGTGAAAGAGACTGATGATTGAATCTTCAAGTTCAACCAATGAATTGAGTTGAATTGCTTTTTCCAGTAGATTTTTGATTGTTGTTGAATTATCTGATAGACCCAGTGCTGGCGGAAGCACAAAGGTTTCTTCATTTTCCTCAGGTTCTGTAGCATTGTGTCCCAGATGTTGAGGAATTTTGTTGAAATTTTCAAATAATCTGTATGCATCCAAGTAAGGTTTGAAAAGTTGTTTGTTGAAGAGCTTGCGTTGGTGTGTGTTGATATTTCGAATCCAAATTAATTCTGAGGCTTTAGGAAATTCCAAATCTTCTGCTAGATTTTCTGTAAGGAGGAGTTTCACATAATTTTTGTTGAGCTGGGTGGACTGATCCAATTCTTTGACTTGTTGAACAGATTGATCCAATATTTCTTCATGATCCATGTAGTTTTCCACATCTAGTCCATCTAGCACCATTCCTGGTATTTCAATTACTGTATGTGCAAGTTCCATTGGTGTGTCCATTACGTTTGCTGATGCCGCTTTCCATTCTTCCACCAGATCTGGTAGTTTGATTGTTGAAGCTGCTGTTTCCATTATTGGTTCCGTATAATCCGTCATCGGTTCTGTGTAATCCGTCATTGGTTCCGTGTAATCCGTCATCGGTTCCGTGTACTCCGTCATCGGTTCCGTGTAATTGATTGTTGGGCCCACATAATCTGATTTTGGTTTGGTTTGGAAAAGCAGCTGTGGAGTTTTGCATTCAACAGGTAATTGTATCTCCAGGTGTTGTTGTTTGAGTGTTGGTCGATCTGACTTTTCCTTGCTAGTCTTATTCTTGACAAGATGACAGATTTTCTTGACCCATTTGAGCTTCCTTCGAACCAAGCTTGGTTTTATGGTGAAGTCTGAGTCGTCCGAAAAGTGAGATTGAACCGTGTCTTTAGTTTGATACGCCTTGGTGTATGCAGTTCCAACTGGGTTGAGGTTCTTCATTTGATTCCAACCTTTTCCTTGTCCTATTTTTGCAATGGGGACAGTGATACGTCGGCCACTATCACCTTGAAAAGATAGTAGTTCCCCAGTTCCTGGATAATCCAAAGTGCAGTCGTAATCAAACAAAAAAGGTTGTCCAAGGATACAATCTTGAGCTTGAGGTGAAATTGATGTGAGTTGAGAAAAAGTGGTGGGTATCTTCAAGTTGTCCAACTCTGAGACTAAGGCTGATTCAACCGTCTTCTCTGGTTTCTGAGCAGTTGGTTTTGCTTGAGGTTCCGCGATTTGTCCAGGCGTTTTTCTGGTGGCTGCCACTTCTTCCACTATTTCTTCAAGTTCATCGATTGGGTCCAAATCCATTGCCGAGTCATCGTTGTAAGACTCAAAAGTGGTTGTGAAACCCTTTTGCTGAATGGAGAAGGGGATGATGGAGTTGCAAGCTCTGCCCTTCTATGCTATCAGAACAACAAGACCACCAAGCTCAGCTTGGCAGTTTACATATCGTGATAGAGGATAGTTCGAGATGAAGCTGTCGAATGATACGTACATCTTGATGTAGGTGTTGATGATTGTTGTTGATGAAGTCGTGATAGAGG